ACTGCTATAAATGTACCCCCCCCCCCTCATGGGGGAAGCTGAAGTCAAAGATTAAGGGCTAATGATAAATATCATAAAGCCTACCATTTGAAATAAATAAGTATTGCACACTGCGCGGATTAGGACAAGGGTAAATAAAAAGGAGTAAATCGGAAGCACAGGATTTCTCCTTTTTAGATTCTTTTCGTCATTTTAATAATTCTTTTACCGGGGTGTGCGATAGACTTACCTCCACGTGGTGCACCATGGGCAACGTATACTCATACGACAAAAAAGTCTATTACCTGGCAGTTGACTTCAAACTACCATGACCCCACTGTATGTCATATTCGACTACTTTCACAGTACTCACCTTTTTCTACCTTTGTGTCTGTCTCTTACGTCTGTGAATCATTATTCTGTCCCCCCTCTCGACTTTTAACGTCTGTGAATCATTATTCTGTCCCCCCTCTCGACTTTTTACCACTGGTGTTCCTCTTCCTTTCTGTGAAGCACGAAGTCAACTAAAGGGCTAATGACACCTATCATAACGCCTGCCATTTGAAATAAATAAATAATTCTTTTACCTACTTTTCTTTTAATTTTTTATCTATTTATCCGGTGTTTTCCCCTGAGCAAAGATTTATATTTATCTGCTTTGCATTAATCTATTTAAAAGCGTTTAATATTAAAAAATGGCTTACACCTTGAATTGACCAACTGGATTTTGTGAGCTACTAGTTAGTTGAAATAAGCAGTGCAATACATAGATTTAATGTTGTCCTCTATTGGTGAATGTATTAGTTCAATCTCATGCAACTTTGGAAAACCACAGCGGATTCTAATAACACCTCTCTTTTTTCTACAATGCTGGATGCTCATTTTCAGAATGGGCTTGCTGATGCAAATATTCACTTCATATTCCCTTTGTCCATCTTATTTCGTTTAGGATGTCGAGTCCTATTCTTCCTTCATCGGAGATACATTTTCATGAGACCGCCCCCCCCCTCTTCCTTGTCACTCTTGTTCGATTTTATTTAATTCCAGTTGCTGAGACGCGTTACTTAACTGTTTGCGTTAGTACTTAATGCACAAAAGGACGAGTATAATAACATTCTATTAAAACAAGATGTCACTTAGAATATTAGAATATGAATCGGTATCTGGCATTAATTTCCTTTTTGTAGGAAAGTTGAACCCGTCCCAATAAAACGCTACTATCGTCGTGAATTAGAGTCGGACAACGAGGAGAAAATCTCGTCGAAATCCTCTTCGGAGTCGGACAATGAATCTAAAGGAGGTCGTTCTTCATTTGCTGATAATGACGACCAACAAAGAAGGTTTGTGTGTGTGGGGGGAATCATTTCATTTAACTATGAATTGTCTCCACGTCTCTTTTTACTCCGTTTTTCGCTTAATTTCGAACAGATACCAACATGACGACAATGACGGGGGTAAGAGAACAGCCTCTTCTTCGGGCAATCGATATTCGAATTCCGCTAACGCTCACCACAGCACATCCTCCTCCAAAGTCAGTTTCTTTGTACATGTTTTTGTGCTTTCCACCACCCACCCCAACGCAGAGTTCACACCCATTCAAGTTCTATCCACGCTGTGGAAAAAAGGCCTTTTAATTAACTACAAGCTCGCTGTTTTACTTAAGCAACGAGCCATACTTTTCAGTTGGCTGAAATTAGTCTAGTTTAATTATAGCGCCGTTTTAGTACAATTGTGTGTATGTGTGTGTGTGTGGTACCTGTCATTAATTCACTACTTCAAATTCTGACTTGTTTCTCCGTAGGATTCTCATGGAAAATCATCTGCTCCATCTAAGCTAACTCCACAGGAGATTTTGAAGCGAAGAATGCAAGCTCAGTTGAATAAGACAAGTGAGTTGATGATCTGTATTTTATACTTCTGAAAGGAAATACGTGTTAGTATTCTGGTCATTCGATGGATCCAAGGAAAAAAAATACATTTACTTGATCACGGAATTTATTCTCAATAAATGTTCTTTAGCTAATTTTTTTGCAACTCATGTTTCCTGTCCTCCTTAGGAGAGAATACATTTTAGATGTCGGAATTTGTGTAAGGTTTATTTCTGACCATGACCCAAAGTTGTAAAAGTGTGAAGATGAGCGAGGTTAAGCAGGGTGCGACTTGGCTATCCGTTTGTAATAAATGTATACCGATGGCTGGAGTGCGGATCCATTCACCACAGTTGTATCTTCATTCCGGTTGATGATTGCATATTTCTTTAACACCTGCCATTCCTCGTTAGCTAAAGAAAAGGGAACCGTTTGATAAAATCACTTTTTCTTTTCTTTCTTTTGTTTGGTTCATTCATGGGACTTTAAAATCATCCACTGTGGTTAAGACAGGACAAGGAAGTGGAGATAGTAGATTACTTCGGAGTATCAAGACTCTAATACAACATATCTTTTTTATTCCTGAATGCAGTCCTCTTTTACTCGAGTTAATTCACGTTTGTGGTGTTCAGAATTTTTTACCAATCACTTTTGTTACTTAGGTGGTTGATAAGTTTTTTCTTGTAATACTAACAGAATGATAAAAGTGGATAGGATTTTAACATAGCGTTGATCTCTTGAGTCCACTCGGGTTGAACTCTAATCAAATCAATCGGGATTTTTGTAGCTTGAAGCTAACTCTACACTATCCTTTTCAATATTTAGTGAGTGCCGAGAAAAAAGCGGAATCAGAGCGACTCGAACAGCAAGAACGTGAACGAATGGTATGTTTCATTGATACAAGTTTTTGCTTTTTATTTATGTTCCATTAAAACTACTCTCTTTTTCCTTCAGGCTCGTGAGGAAGGTCTGCGTAAACAGGCGCAACAAATGCGTCAACGAGAAATTGGGAAGCGTTTGGCCGAACGGGGACTCCAACATCCATTCACTAGTTCTTATCGACGTCGTTCTTTCTCTTCTTCGTCTTCCAGGTCATCCAGTCGTTCACCGAGGTCCCCGAATGTTCCATCGGCCATCCGGCGTGGTTCTTCACCTCCATCACCCTTCAATTTAGGTGTGTATCTACTTAAATACCGTCAGTAGCGGTTTTTTATTTGTTTGTTTATTGCTTTGATTTATATCCATTTCAATCGCCCACTTACTTGTTACGTCAAGCTATTTGCTTTTTAATATATGTGCATTTATTTGTTAAATTTTGCACTTATGGTCGGGCATGCAGATGGGTTCCCTTAATTTCTATTGGCTGCTTTTTAATAGCAAGCGATAACTCATACTCTTGTTAATTTATTTTTGTAGAAATGAGTCTAGGTGGACCCTCTAGAGCTCGTCTGCGTCGTTCTCCCTCACCTTTTCGTCGTCGGGATTATCAGAGTCGGTATGGTGTTAAGGGTCCACGCAGACAGCCTTGAAGTTCACAGTGTTTCAAACATAATTATGCAAAGTCTCTGTATTTGTAGATCATTGGAATTGTAATAAATTACTCTGTTATTTTAGTTGTCTTGTATGTTTTCTAAATCAGCGATATATAGTTCTTTACTCGTAAGAGCACTGTTTAAAGCGGACCAAGAGCGGTCTAGTAGAATGCGAGTTTCCCATTAAAGTATTTCCAGGCTGTTGCGTACCTAATACGAATGTTGTAAATGTCGGTTAGTGTGTTTATTATTACCAAGCATATCTTGAATTCATTTCATATTATTATAACTGCTATAAGCGAGTCACTAGTTGATTAAGTTGCAGACTAATTTATTACTAAACATTTTCAGTAGCAAGTTAATTTGGTTAACCAAGTCGGGTGATCTGGAGGTTGGAGAACCTTTGGGCACTTTTAAAACAGACAAAAGAATAAACAAGTCTTAACTTAAGCTGCTTAAATTGGGAGGGGGCGGCGTTACGAGAACTGAGTGGTCAGTCAAAGAGGTGAATTGTGTTGGGGGTTAGCAACGAATATCAAGCAATTTTAATAAATGAATTATTGTAGTTTAGATTTAGAAAGTGGGAAATTAATAGGAATGGTGGGGCAGTATCATTACTGTGTGCGTTGACCTATTGTTACCGTTTCTCTCGAATTTCTGTTCTGATTTTGGGTTATAACGCAAGAAAGGCATAGTTTAGGCAATGTTAACAGCACATTCTTCAATTATAGTATTTATGCCCTGTCAATGAAATTTCCCCTCAATAAATCAATTTCTCACATTGGCAAGCAACAGGGTCCACTTGTAAAAGTAGTTTACTTTTGCTCAGTTGAAGAGGTTGTGCCTCCATTTAGTAAACTTGAATTGTTAGAAAATCGAAAAGACGGATTAAGAACCGATTTATTGTATTTTCATTGCAATTAATGTCTTCAGTTTTTATGGATTCGTAAGATGGTACTGTTCTATTACCCAGGAATGCGTATTTGGGCTCATTTTGAGCAAAAGAGATATGCCTTTATGCCAAAAGTTCGCAGCAGGTTTTATTCCTTTTTACGGATTTCGATACTGCTTATCCTTAAAGTTAACTGACATCTTTTTTGTGGAAATGTTGGCATTATGATTCATCTTCCTCATTAGAAGCAAATGGGTGGGGGTGGGGGGTGGGAGGAGGTATATTACTCATCGAACTGAAGTGAGCCGTGTTTTGTGATATTTACTGCTACAAGCTACTTCTATTAACTAAATGAAGTTAAGGCACTCGGGCAAGTAATGAACATTGAACACTGAATGACACAAAGTGAATTCGTCTTTAAAACAGGGACAACTCAATGTTTCTGAACTAAAACATGAAGCCTTCCACGTGGTGTCATGTCTTCATTACTTATTTATTGCTCACTTCCTCCCCCCCCCCCCCCCCCACACATATTCTCATGATCAGATCACTTGTGATTATTTGAATTTGCAGACAATGTTATTTATTTATTTATTTATTCGGGCTTCACATGGCGGAGGAACAACGAAATGAGAAATAGTGAGAGGGGGGAACCAGAAGAGTGATTCAAAGGTAAGGTGAGTTCTGAGAAAATGGTCGAATATCATACAGTTGGATCATAGTAGTCAGAAGTCAACTACCGGGTTATAGAATTTTTTGCCGAATAAGTATACGTTGCCCAAGGTTCTCCACTTGGAGGAAAGTCTATCGCACACCCCTATGGCAAGAATATTAATTGTATCAACAGTAATGGCAAGACAAAATAAAATTAATAAATTTTATTTACTTTTATAATAAGTTAAGATGGCAAATCGGAGGAGCAAATGGAGTTACCGTTGGAACAGAAATAGCCAGTTTACCAACTTTTATACTTTCTAAATATTTTTTTCTCTTAACTTTAAAAGTAAAAGTAATACTTTTCAATAATCATTATTAGAAATGTTACGTATTGGGTGCCATTTAGTAAAACCCAAAACGAATATGCTTTCACCCAACCAAATTTTAGTGTTTTGGGAGGAGTTGTCACTTGGGGTCTATAAGAGCATGATGAACGCTTGAACAATGGATCAGGAAGCACTAAAATTTGCCCTTCCTGGAATACCGTCTATACTGGTTAGCAGGTTGCTCATTTGTACCACTTTCAATTCTCCTGAAACATTGTGGCACAGAGTATCTAGAGTGAAGTTGCAAAATTATGGTCATAGACACGTGTGATCACACAATGCTAAGGATTAAGGCTGACCAAAATAACTGTTCCAAGTTACTAATTTAACAGTCGCGCTTCAGTTCATATGTTCTGCGACCTACCTACTTCAAACGTTGTCTAGTTAGCTCTAAGAGCAAATATCAATGGTAAATGAGCTTACTAGATGCTCATTGTATTTTATACAACTAATTATGCTCCTAAGAGGATTATCTAAGTCTGGTAAAGTGTCAGACAAGCGTTGGACATCGATTTTCAATTTCTTAGTACCTATTGTTAAAATTTAAAAAAACTATTTACATTTTGATTAGCTTGTAACTCTTGTATCAGGCGGAAGGATGAAGGAAAGTTTGAAGTTTCTAACTTGGCTGAGGAGATTTCTAGAGTTGCATACCTTCAATTCTACAGTAGCAACGTGCTTGGTGACATGATTTGCCTTTAGCAGGCATCAATGGTAATTTTTAAGAAAACAACTAAAACATTGATTTTAAGAGATACGACTTAGCAGTGGCTTCGAAAGGAACTTGAAGATCATTGATTTAATAGGTGCCGAACACATCAAAACACTTTATTGAAGCAAAGTGGCAATGTAGTTCAATAATGATTGACCGATCAATTCCATTTAAATAAGTTTTAAACCCGTGAATTGCAAGAGGTCATTACTCAGTTCTCACGAAAGTCAGTTCCTTCCGTTTCTAAAGGTCTAAAACTGGATCCACTTCTAATAAACTACTAATGTAGTAGATTTCCAAATTCCTTTTATTTTCAATAATTAAGATCATGTTGGAACACTGAATCAATGAATACTTAGATGAAATCGTTTCCCATTATACTCATATCGGCATGAGGAACAATTGATTGAGTAAAACTCACATTTAACCACCCATCCATTTGACACTAACTACTCCAAAGCCCCCCACATTGGCAGTTTAGGACATTCATGCCCTTCTAATCGTGTTTAAGGCTTTTCCAATGCTTCCACACCATTTTTCCTCTACTTTTTTGGTGGCCAATGGAACACTGACACATGGGATACTTTCTCTTTAAGTAAATTCATTTTTTTGCCCGGGGCGGGGAGGGAAGCCGATTTTAGTCCTTGGATAACTTTATAATCACCCATTATCTTCTATTTTTCAATAGAGGGAAAGTGGAAAGTGAAATTGTATCGAAAATTAAATTTAAAAATCGAATTTCAATCATCTATCAGTTGGCATAAGTAAAAAAAGAAAATTTCATTTAATAATTAAATCTCAAGTGACCTTATGGCCCATAATGGGGGGAGTGATGATAGACCCATTGTGGGAAACTTCATCACACCAATAGAAATCCTGCTACAGAACACTACTCAGAAATATTTAGCTATTAATGTTCACGCGAATTATGCTAGATTTATCGGATAATTAATCGCTGTGCCAAAAACACTTCGCTATCAATATCTGTACTGAATAAACGTGTTCCTTGCTACACGTCTGTTTCCTTTATAGCTGGACTATAGCTTAGCTGGCTCTGGGAGTCTAGCTAGATGTAGGAGGATCTGCCATAGAGATTTCTGAGTCAGTCAGGCTTTACTAGCGTAGCAATCCGCTACACCATTCTTCAGTCCAGTATTTTTTCATGTCGAATTGCAAGTAGAAATAATCTCTCTCTTTGGAATGTTACAATGTTTTTTCACAATTATATATAGCACAGGCGTTCTAAAATGCACAGTTTATTCCATTTATCAATACTAAAGGTGAGAATTCCGTTAATCGCGTTCCGCAATTCGATGATAAAACCAAATGGAAATACTCGAATTTTTGGTGCCAAATTAATATGCTCACCGAAGTAAAACTCATAGGATAAAAAGACAGCGATAACGCAGTCATCAAACGAGGAACTAGAGAGGAATGCAATTCCTCTAATTCTGTGTGCCTTTCACGCGTAATTTTCAAGATAATGTTGAATGAATAATTTGGCATACAATTGGAGGCCATGGAAAACTCATGTTAATTTTAATAAATTATTTTACTTTAAGCTAAAGCGCATGCCACACATAAGCCTTAGCTAAACCTCAGTAACCTTGACGCAAAGTCCCCTTGTATGAACTTTTTCCCTCAATCATCTAAGTCACCTTAACAATGACCAGGACACCATGTGTGGCTACAATTGAGTTTATTTTGATACTGTTCGCCAGTGGTACTGAGTAAATCATTGTAATATTTATGTCAAAAGGCAGGCGTTTTGATAGTTATCATTAGTTCTTTAGCTGACTTCGGGCTTCACAGAGAGGAGGAGAAACATCAAGTGAGAATAGTCAAGAGGGGGAATAGAAGAGTAATTCACATATGCAAGAGACAGACAGACAGACACAAAGGTAGAGGGTAGAGCATGGTGAGTACTGTGAAGTGGTGGAAGGTGACATACAGTGAGGCCATGGTAGTTTGAAGTGAGATGTCAACTACCTGTTTATAGACTTTTTGCTGTATGAGTATACGTTGCCCAGTGTGAACCACATGGAGCCGAGTCTATCGTTTGCTCAATGGTCCATGCCGCGAACTCCAGTTACTGGTTGGCTAAGAGGTCTCTGCACTCACGCAACACTTGCTCCTTACTCGATGAGAAGCACGGCCGCACTTTCCAGTCCGTTCGAGTGGGCGTGATGTTTTTTGTTTCCACTTTGTTAGCCTCTGTTATTCAAAACCCTATAGTTTAACTGGCAATTAGTAACAACACGCAAACATGTCTATGCAAGGATTCCACCGAAAAAAATTTTAAACCCTCAATTTGGAGGGCAATTCAATTCCTTTCTCCTGGATTAAACAT